GGCAAGAGTAAAGCCAAGAACCAGGAAGCACATTAGAAAAAGTTTACACATGCATTTAGGGATCTACACTAGTTCTGCCACCAAATATTAATGTCCCCTTGGGCAGAAAATTTAAACTTTATGTAATGCAACATCCCATTTTAACTTGCAGGGTTTCAACTAAATTATCACAGTAACCTCCATCTCAGAATGTTTTTCTCTGCAAACTAATACAAAGGATATAAAACATGGAAAATATGTAAGCGTCAGAACTCCACTACAGTGCTGAAGTGTCCTATGGCAGCCTCCTAAGTCCCAAGGAAACACTGAGAAACTACTATTACACTGTGGAGTAAATGGGTTAGAAGGTGATTTGGGTAGCTTTTTGTTTTGTTTTGTTTTTGTTGTTGTTGTTGTTTGCAATGGGTAATAAATGTGCAAAATAACTTATTTTTAAAAGCTGTTCCTAGAAGCTTTTTCATGATTTTTGTTTGTCTGTAATCATGCAGTCTAAAGTCTCCAACTGAATTAAACATCCCAGAACCACTTTAATGATTCAGGCTAGAAAGGAAAAAATTTCAGAGTTTAAATTCTGTTTCAATATGATGACTCCTGAGAATTTTATTGACCTTGCTGGACCTTTTGGAATTTGAGTTCATTTATAATCAAACTAGAAAAAAATGTTTTGAAATGCTATTTAGACGCTCAAAAGAATTATTGGACCCTGAATAACTTTCATTACATGACATTTTGATAAGGTCATTGTAAATGAGTCAGAAACACGGATTACATTTCTTTTAAAAATACACATCGTTTCACGACCGATTTGGTCCAAATTCGTTTTGGCTTTTGCTGAATCCCAAGTGTTTTTCCTTCTATTTTTTTCTCTTTAAATTCTCCAATAAACTCGCTAAACCCATAATCTAGGTGAGCTCACCTGCCTCACTTCCCTGTTGAGTTTTGCCTCGGGCTTTTCTTTAATAGCATGTATCCTTAGAGCACAGAGTCTTATACTGAGAATCAGGAGAAGCACAGAGTCTAATAAAAGCATGGGAATTTTTTTTTCCCTTTTAAACAGAGAGAGCTCTAAGGGAATGATATTGTTCCAGAGTACTGACTCAAATCTGTTCTGTATTTGAACTCTGTGATTATGAAATTTCAATTAAATCTATAAAAAGCCAAGCTAACAGACACCAGAGCATGCCAAAGAAAAACAGGATGTTCTTTTTTGATTGGGAAATAATTATCTAAGTTCGATGGCTGGGTCCAGGTAGCTGAGTTTACATTTGCTTCCCCTCATTATAGAAACAGTTGAATTATGATAAATTTTCCCCAAGCAGCAAAGCTGTCATTCAAAAGGGTGATTTTATTGGGGTGCAAAATCCCTTTAGTTATTGCTTTAGTCCATTTTTAAATGGATTTGAAGCCTGAGGGGAAAGTCCAAATTAAGACGGATTTTTCTCTTTTATGAGACAAACCTAGCTTGTCCTTTGTGTTGCAGCCACTGTAGCACAGGTAGGGCACTCATCTGCCAGAAAAGTCTTCTGTTATCTCATTCATTACAGAAGTGAGATGTAAACACCCCGAATTCTCTTCTTTCTCAAAAATCATTACACTGATCATATTATGTTTTCAACAATGGAATGAATTTCCTTAAACATTTATTACTTAGCGATGGAAATAATACAGGTTCAGTTTTGAGGTAAAGGAGAAAGGCACTCAAAAATGTTTGGTTTGCAGAAATGTGGTAAAATTTGCATCTTCCATACCTTCACCTTAGGGGTGGATGGGAGAGAGAGTACAACCTTTTAAAATTTGAGAAAATAACTCTTTCAAAAAAATTTTTCAAATCTGAGCACTCTCCACAAATAGTTTATTGTGAATGATTCTGAAGATATAATAGGCATAAACATTCTGTTTAAAATAAACTAAGGAATTATATGGTAATTACTTAAGATCTCAAAATGATTCAACAGGATTATAACCGAATAAAATATTTATATATTACAAGCACCATTTGAACTAGATAATATAATGGAAAAGAAACCAAAATCACATATGGTTACACTCTTCTAGACAGTCACTGACAATAGACATAATCTCTTTAGGAGAAATGAGGTTATTTTTTTTTCTTTCTTTTTTTTGCCATTAAGGAAATAACAACTTAAAACATATTTTAGGAATAGATCTCCTATTGTCAAGAACTAAGTTTAACTTTTATTTATAATATCCATTACAGTATAATTTAAAATAATAATTCTAGGTTAAATAAGGATTTCGATAAGTATACCATATAGTATGTGTGCAATACAGACAAATTGCATGTGTTTTAGACAATGGTATATATCTTTCCTATCTCTTGTCCAATTTCTTCTTATACTTGATTGATTGGAGGACAACTGCTATAGTTTTGTTTAGATCTTGAATGCTTATTATTATTATTATTATTATTATTATTACTATTATTTTTGTAATCTAATAAATTCATTTAAAGCAATACATAATTTTTTCTATGAGAACTGTCCTGACCTCATTTTATATATTTTATATACTTGCTCTCATAATCAATGATTAATCATTGCTTTGTATTTTCATTTTTTCTCAATCATTAAATTTATTTTTACTTTAATAATTTGCCAACATTCTTTTTTCCAGAAGAAGAATTTAATGTATTCATTTCATTACTTACCCCACTACTCCACATTATGTTTACAAACTTAGATCATCACTCACCACTAAAATTACTATTAATATATCATTTCTAGTTAAATATTTATCCTTTTAGAATTATTTTTCATTCATGCACTCGACAAACAATGTGGATAAGTCACTGTCCAAGAATATACCATAGTGATTCTCAAGCTATATAGTAAAGAAAACTTTCTTAAAAATTAATATTTATCTTCATATCTAATTCATCATGGCTCAATATCATGTAAAATACTGAAAAATAAAAGTATAGATATACAAAGGCAAAAATACAAGATTCATTTTTAAAAACTGTAGCTGCAGTAGTATTATAAGTATTTTGGTTATAAAAGATCTTAAAATTTTTCTAAGCATTTACTCTTAATTTCTATATTTATCTTATCATGAAATAGTAGCATTTTATATAGTGGTCCAAGTCCACAACTCACATCTTGAGTTGCTATACTCTAGGGTTAGAGTTCATGTGTCTATACATTAGACTCTTGGTGGTGACAGCATTATGGGACTGTGATACTAACAGAATAATCAACTGGAATAAATATCTGTCTTCTATACTCTGTGTGTGTGTGTGTGTGTGTGTGTGTGTGTGTGTTTAAGCATTTACTGTCTTTCAGGAGATAAGAAAAAATACATACATGTTTATGTGAAGGAAAGTAACTGAACTACCTCAAGGTAATCTGACAGATACTTTCCCTTTGAATCTTGTTCATCTATGAGCCTTGACTTTGTCCTATTGATTAATGAGTCAAGTTCTTTACTTGTCACTTCCTGATAAGTACTTAAAAAAAGAATAGCAATTTTTCCTCATTTAGGTTACCTCTGTTTTTATGAAACAGAACCAAATCCACCTAAAAAGTTACATTAGAAAATTATCTGATTGCTCCTGTATTTTACTTCAAACTGTTACAGCTCATGAAAAAAATGGAAATTTCACTTGTTAATATAGATAGTTCCTTTACTGGAATTTGGGAATTTTCCTAAAATCACATTATTAAGAAAAAAGCCTTTAAACCACAAACTATATCCACTGTTGGGTTCTCTATGTCTAAATTTATTAAAACAACGTGATATTTTGTCTTTGGCCTTGAAAAATTAAATGCAAACCTTAATTAGAAGAGTTCATAGTAAAGAAAAATCTCAGCAAAATATGCTGTGGGTTTTTTTTTTTTCCTCTCACATTATTACAATAAGAAAACAAACAAAAATGTTGTCTATATTCTATACTATTGGGCTCTCTGTAGGATTTCCAAACAAATACAAGATGCCATCTAAATATGAACTTCAGAAATTTAACAAGTAATATTTTAGTATAGGTGTATCTCATGCAGTATACTTATTTGCTAAAGCTGGTACCCATACTTTTTTTTCTTACTCATTTTTAGAGATTTGATAACTGCCAAGAGTCCTATTTCTATAAGAACTAAGTCACTGAAAACAGAGAACATTTAATTTCTAATATGATACTTTCAAGTGATCTTCCTCCATCATGCCAAATAAAAGAGGCCAAATCTTTTAGATGGTAAAAGTCCAAATTGTTTGGGACTTTATCAGCCAGGAGTTGACTTTTATCATGGAGATGCTGAAAATATAAATGTCAATTGCCTTCTAGACTAGACTGGATCCACAGTATACTTTGTATAAGAAAAAAATAAACCTTTGTTGTATTAAGTTCCTGAGACTTGGGTGATGACAGTTGGCATGGCAAGACCTAGCCTACATTGACTGGAATCCAAGTTGTTACTTTCAAAGTGAGACCTTTGTAATAATTCAGAATAAACAGTATTACTTCTAGGTTAAATTAAATAGATAAAAGAAGTTAATTATCATAAAATTCTTTCATGCTTTGATAAGAATTTAAATCCAGTATTAGCCATTTTATTGATGTTTATTGTAATCCCATATGTAATGTATTCAGGAAGATTAGAAACAAAAATGATTAAGTGAATATCTATTTAAACCCCTTTTATATAATTCTGTGAAGTTGAATTTGCACATTCTACTGCCATAAATCAATAGAGGGACTTCTGACTCCTTTCCAGGTAGCTAAGTCACATATTGTGTCAGATCCTTTGAAGACTGTGGCTGGTTGTTCAAGTAGAATATCCAGAATAGGTTAGAAGTCACAGACTTCATTATGGAAAAGGAGTCATTGTCATTCTTTACCCATGGAAATGTCCTCCCATTATTGGTATTATGTTGTATGATCTAAAGATTGTATGATGTTTTATAACATTATATGACATTTTATGGCATCTTATGACACCCATGGTTTATGACATTATGTTGTTGTTTCTAAGGGAAATCGGTCCTTAAGATACCAAGAAATAATCTGAATCTATCTGACTTTCCCCAAAAGCAATAGACTGATTATCTAAGTGGAAAGTGATTATCTTAGTAAGTGATAGGTTAGCAGAAAATAGAGTTGTGGAATCAGTGAGATGTGGTGTCTAATGAGAGGACTAATGGCAAGACTGGCTCACTGTTGAGGCGTTGAAATAAAACTCTTTTTAATTCTTTAATAGTTTCATTTGTAATAAATCCACGAAGGGAGCAATATGGTTTTGTCAATCACAGTAGGCATTCTCAATTCTGTCTGTATATTATAATCTTCTTCAGAGAGCTTTTTGTTTTTTTAAATAGAACTATTCAGGCCCTTCATACAGAAATTCCAATTCAATAGACTTGCTAAGTATCTGACTGTTTAAAGGTTTCACTGGTGATTTTCCTAAACATATTAGTCCCACTAGAAATTCGTCACTGAAATATATGACACATTCTTAGTTTGTTGAACTGGAATATGCCAAGCACATGCTTTGCAAAAGAATTTTAGGAGCATGAAAGTGAGGTGAGTTTTATCTTATCTGCACCTAGATCCATTTCTAAAACATACTCAGAAAGCAAAGAGAAAAAGAAGAGGAAATTTGAAGAATAGGGGAAGGAATTTTAAAAGACTAGAAGGGATACAAAAACTCACACAAAATTCAATTCTTATGAACACATCATTTCTGGAAAGTACTAGGAGTAATATTACACTCCAATTCGAAAAGTATCCTTGTAGGCATCATAACTACAGAATTTTATCCATGAAAATGATGTCTGTTGAATCAAAACTCCTACATATTACAGTTAAATCATTATATTTTATTCTTTAATTTTGCCTATCTTTGTTATATTCCCAGATTAGTGTCTCTGTTGCTCTGTAGCAGTTTTGTATTCTGACTGAGCCATTTTATATTTAACCAATCCAAAAAAAAAAAAAAAAAAAGAGAGACCTTAAGAATAAACAGTGTAATTTATAAATGGGACATCTTATTTGGTTCCATAGAATCTTCATAGAATAAGTAGAATTTATAAAATAGCAAGGGAAATGAAACTTTAATCTCTTTCACAATAAGCAGCTAGGATACTATATGTTATCACTCAGCTAATGATTTGATTGACATACTTTAGTGATCAAGTATTATCACTATGTAGGGGCAAAAATTCTATTTTTAAAAAAGTGGGTATCAAGGACCATTTGCATTACTTGAATACTGAAGACAATTCTCCATATATAGATACATATATACGTGTGTGTGTGTGTGTGTGTGTTGTGTGTGTGTGTGTGTATGAAGACTACACTTGTTTAAACATCAAATTCGTTAGAATCATTGAAAATCACTAATGTAATGGAAATTAATTTTTTGGAACATCTTAAATTGGCCATGGGGTTCATTGTAATAAAAAACATACATCTTTCAACCAATAACTTCTGGCTAAAGTAAGTATGCTATCCATCATAATTTCAAAAATGTGTCCAAAAATAACATTTTTGACCTTAATAAGTACTGAAAATCACATATTACTTATCTAGAAGCTTACAATCCTATTTTACCATACCCATTTTTAATTTTTCCATACAACATTTATGATTAAATCAATCATATTCTATTGGGAAGGCATTCATGTAACTATTAAAAGACATAGAAATATTAAATACTGCTACTCCCTTTTCCACTGCTATTCAGTGCTTATGATCAGAGCTTATTTGATATTAGTGGTCATCTAACAAAATCTGCCCTCCCACAATGCTCAACCCAGAGTTCATCTTCATTTCTAATTGTAAACCTTCCTACATATTTAGTGTACCCATCTATACACATTGACTACTAATTTATTTGTCTCAGATAATTTGAATTGGATTGCCTTTTTAGTGACAGTTTCTAGATTTCCCTTTTTATGACTGTTCTAATTTCAAGAATGTATTTTACACACAGAGACTTTGATACTATGTTCCACATAAGTATTTCAACAAAATGTGTACCTGAGAAGACAACATAAATAGAATCTGTAATAGTTAAGCAGATTTTACAGAATGTCGATCATGATTTAGCCAATAGTTTTTTATGAATTATATGTGCTTATTATTAAATAAAAAATTTTCTTACAAGTCTTAATAGGAAGACCATAGAATTAGACATATTTACAATAAATTATCTTAATTTCCAGATGTTAGAGGGAAGAAATAATTGCAAAGTCTCTTACTAAAATACATGCTTTATACCACCAGTTTCTTTGTCAAAATGGAGTATTTTATCTTCTCAGCATAAGATAAAAACTTATATTAATTGTTCTCTGTATAATCCCTATTATGTTTCACATTTTTCAAGCTTGACTGTGAATGGATAAAGGTCAGTAGAAAATGTTTAGATTATTATAGTTCTCAGATTTTATTTCAAGTCTTTGAATCTATCCATAGGATTTTTTTTCTTTTTTAGATATGTGGACACTGTTCAATAT